AAAGTTAATAGTAATGTGTAGCTTAATATGGCTAGCTGACTGAACTAAAAGAGGCTAACCTGTTAGCTACTGAGCACAGCTAGCCACAGCGCTACCCAGCTCTCCCCCTTTATATCATGGTTTAACAGTTACTTTGTTCACCAGAAACAGATTTTATTCAGTTTTGTTATCGATCAGGTTAAACTTCATCAGACATTAGACACGCTAACGCTACAGATGCTCCCGATTCAGCACACGGACGCTGCGTGATGTTATTGTCATTGTCTGGGCAACCACAATGTTTTACGTCATGTGGCAACGCTCAGCCAATTATGTAGCGTCATGTCACTGGCAGGAAGCAGGACCCGAGCAGATCTGGGAGCTACAGCGGCAAACGAAATATGGTGACAGCAGGTGTTTGAGCCGAGTAATATACTGATATAAATTTGTCTAAGTCTAATTTGAAAAAAAACTATCCTATATGAGAGAAACAGGAAGAGAGGAAGCTTTTTGTGCTTCTTTAAAATTCCCAGCAGGTAAAGATCAGTGCAAATAGTTTGGAGATGCTCTGATAATGCTCTCATTTTTGGACGGTATTTCAACTTTTGTTTTTGTAATTTTAGGTCAATTTGTTTTTTCATTCCCTTTTTTTTTGTTATTATGCAAAATAGAGCCCTTTTTTATTAAGCATTTTATTTGGGTGTTTTTGCTTTGTTTCCTGTTTGGTTGCTGCGATCTTGTTAAACGTCTAATACTGACACCTAAAGACATCATGTAGCAGAAAAGCTTTGAGCTGGTTAAAATAAAATAAAATGAAGTAAAAATTGAAACCAAATGTTTGAATGAGTATATCAGTGCAGTTCTATGCACTTTATTGTTTTTGAAGGTAATTTAAATATATAATGATATCATGTATCGCGAATATAGCCCAAATATATTGTGATATATTCTTTATATCGAGCAGCCTTAGCCTCAAGGAGAAGTAATGTAAGAGTGGATCCATGCTAGAACAGAACCATGAATGGATCCAGAGTCCGGACTGGATTTTTTCCCACTGTTTAATGGATTCAGCGATCCTGAATGAACTTCCTGTGGTTCGGTTAGTGGATCTATATTCGGATAAACTCCTAAATGGACTCATTTAACGGCGCTGATGGAGGAGCAGCAGAAGGAGAGGATGATAGAAAAGTGGAAATGATTAGAACAGGATAGGAGAAGACATGCTAGCAGTTAGCATGGTAGATGGAGCAGCTTTACAAGGTCATGACCTTCATGTATCCAAGTTCTAACATTCCTCTGAGAGAAACCAGAACCAGAACTGCCTGTTTAAAAGCTCTGCTAGCAGGGTGGGAAAAGACAACATAATAAAGTAAGAAAAACAAGGTATTACCTACCCGGAAATTATTCTGTTCGCGAATGCGCAGGACGGGATCGCGCTTCCGGGACGGATCGGATAGTGACAGATGGATTAGACTAAAAACAGAGAGCTAGCTCACAGTTAGCGTCCACCTTATTGAAACAAAGGCAAATAGTCTGACAGTGTGCCAGAGCGACATACCCAGTCTATTAATTATAGATCTACATCTCCATTCACTGGGAATCAGAAGAGTTTCAATTATTTTAATTCATTTTTTAATAGGTTCCTGTTTGGTTACAAGTGTAATTATTTGTAAGAAAACACTTTTTTTTAGCGATGCACGATATTGGGATTTTGGCCGATATCCGATATGCCGATATTTTAAACCTCATGTAGCCGATAAACGATATTGATACCGATGTTAAAGCTGGACAAAAATAAGTAGTCATTGAAAATAGCAGTTTTGTTATCCAAAAATAAAATACTCAAATATATTTTCATATGCTGATATCAAATAGATTTTTAAAAACGCGGTATCGGTCTATTTTACTTTCAAAATCTCGTGAAATTTCATCGTTCTGTTACAAACTCTCGTGATATTTTGCAAATTCTTGTGAGATTTTGTTAGTAAAATAGATCGATACCGCGTCAATATATCAACATATAAAAATATGGCAACATTTGGTGAATTTTCGGGGGATTTCGTAGCATAACGATGACATATAGCAATATTTCATTAGTAAAAGAGATTGATATGGTGTTTTTAAATGGCAATATATCAGCATATGAAGATATTGGGATATTTTAATGGATCAATATTTTTTCCCTCGTCTTTAGAAGTTTTTAAGTCTGTAAAAAAGAAGTTTTTGAGGAAGAGGAAGAAGTAGTATTTTATTTTTTTTTAGACTTTAGAAACTCAGAAGCTGATCAAATATCGGGTTAAATATCGGTGGGGTGGCCGATGTCCGATATTCAGTTTTAAGGCCGATACCGATAGGGGGCCCATTATATCGTGCATCCCTACTTTATTTGTTTAATTTAGCATATTGTTAAAAAATAAACAACTTATCCCTTCATGTTATTAAAAGATCCTCTTTTGCAGCTGACCAAAAAGTTGGTCAGCTGCAGGAAGCATGAAGTGCTCTAAAACTTCCTGGTATGTGGCTGCGTTGACCCTGGACCTCAGAAAACACAATGGACCAACACCAGCAGATGACATGGCACCCCAAACCATCACTGACTGTGGAAACTTTACACTGGACTTCAAGCAACGTGGATGAAGTGCCTCTCTTCTTTTCCTCCAGACTCTGGGACCTTGATTTCCAAAGGAAATGCAAAATTTACTTTCATCAGAGAACATGACTTTGGACCACTCACCAGCAGTCCAGTCCTGTTTCTCTTTAGCCCAGGCAAGACGCTTCTGACGCTGTCTGTGGTTCAAGAGTGGCTTGACAAAAAGGAATGCGACAGCAGAAACCCATGTCTTTCATACGTCTGTGTGTGGTGGTTCTTGAAGCACTCACTCCAGCTGCAGTCCACTCTTTGTGAATCTCCCCCACATTTTTGAATGGGTTTTGTTTCACAATCCTCTCCAGGGTGCGGTTATCTCTCTTGCTTGTACACTTTTTTCGACCACATCTTTTCCTTCCCTTCGCCTCTCTATTAATGTGCTTGGACACTGAGCTCTGTGAACAGCCAGCCTCTTTAGCGATGACCTTTTGTGTCTTGCCCTCCTTGTGCAAGGTGTCGATGGTCGTCTTTTGGACAACTGTCAAGTCAGCAGTCTTCCCCGTGATTGTGTAGCCTATAGAACTAGACTGAAAGACCATTTAAAGGCTTTTGCAGGTGGTTTGAGTTAATTAGCTGATTAGAGTGTGGCACCAGGGGCCATCAATTTTGAACCTTTTCACAATATTCTAATTTTCTGATATGATGAATTTGAGATTTTCATTTGTTGTCATTTGTAATCATCAAAATTAAACAAAATAAACATCTGAAATATATGAGTTTGTATGTAATGTATGAATATAATATACAAGTTTCACTTTTTAAATGGAATTACTGAAATCAATCTACTTTTTCATGATATTCTAATTTTATGACCAGCACCTGTAATAGTAATAATAGAACTTTATTAATCTCACATTAGAGAAATATAACTCTGCATTTAACCCATCCCCTTGGGGAGCAGTGGGCTGCCATTGTGCGGCGCCCGGGGAGCAGTGTGGGGTTAAGGGTCTTGCTCAGGGACCCAGAGTGGCAGTCGGTGGGAGTGGGGCTCGAACTCATAACCTCAGGATTTTAAGCTCTATGCCCTAATCACTAGCCCACCAGTCCCTGAAACTACTATGAGAAAATGCAGAGATAAGATAAATGTATGTCCTCCAGCAGTCCAGGCCTATAGCAGCATCACTATAGAGATAGCTCAGGATAACCTGAGCCACTCTAACTAGAAGCTTTTTCAAAAAGGAAAGTTTTAAGCCTAGACTTAAACGTAGACCTGACCCTTTTAAATGTAAGCTTTAACCTTTACAAATAGGTCAGCCCAACTAGCTAAATCTGTTCCTCTGCTTCTACCCCCTATTATTTTATTCTGGCTCTCAGTTCAGTGAAATTATTGGAAATATAATCAATATTGATCATATTTAACACCATATATACACCAATATACAATCCTAGTTACGTACACAGACTCTAAAACATGCTGAAAGAATATTTTACTTGGGGAAGGAATGAAGACAAAACTACAAAAAATCTAAAACAATTTCCCTTTTGATTAAAGAACCCTGTCTAATAGGGCTCCACATGTTTGCAGGGGCTCAAAATGCTTCTGTTTAGTCATCCTTGTTGTGCGCAAATGGCAGGCTTCTTGTTTTGTTTTTTTTATAAAAATAAAATACTACTTCTTCCTCTTCCTCAAAAACTTCTTTTTTACAGACTTAAAAACTTCTAAAGACGAGGGAAAAATATTGGTACATTAAAATATCCCAATATCTTCATATGCTGATATATTGCCATTTAAAAACACCATATCAATCTCTTTTACTAATGAAATATTGCTATATGTCATCGTTATGCTACGAAATCCCCCGAAAATTCACGAAATTTTGCCATATTTTTATATGTTGATATATTGACGCGGTATCGATCTATTTTACTAACAAAATCTCACAAGAATTTGCAAAATATCACGAGAGTTTGTAACAGAACGATGAAATTTCACCAGATTTTGAAAGTAAAATAGATCGATACTGCGTTTTTAAAAATCAATTTGATATCAGCATATGAAAATATATTTGAGTATATTATTTTTCAAAGTGTCAGAAATGGATAACAAAACTGCTATTTTCAATGACTACTTATTTTTGTCCAGCTTTAACATCGGTATGGATATCGGTTATCGGCTACATGAGTTTTAAAATATCGGCATATCGGATATCGGCCAAAATCCCAATATCGTGCATCCCTAATTAGATCATCATTGTTTATCCAGATAGTGGAGAATAAAATTAATGCTTTGGATAAAAACTGATGGACGTGGGGTCAGTGACTTCCATCTTTTAAAATGGCTGCTCCATTCTACCCTAGATGTTCATTGGGTTTATTTACACCATGTGAGACAGGGTTAAACATTGATTTCTTTTTTCTTTTTGTTTTTTTTCAGACTACGTTTACTTCGAGAACTCCTCCAGCAACCCGTACCTTATCCGGAGAATAGAAGAGCTCAACAAGGTTGGTTGTTGATGTTTAATTTACTTTTTATGTATTAAATGTTTTTTATTAAACACCTTGTAAACCCTCTATTTTAGGGTTGAGTTAAAGAAACTGGTTTCCTCCAGACAAGTGGAAGAAACTGGACGAAAGTCTTGCTTATAGATCATTTATTGGAGAACTGGGATAGTTCTGGGTTAGATGCCATTGAATTTATGAAACCTGGTGAATTACGGCTGTTTTAATGGCAGGGCACTGGTTCAGAACCCACTTACGTAAGAGCAAAGCAGCCTCCCGCGTCACAGGATTAAGCTCCTTTATGTAACCCAGTGTCTCTGAAGGATCATCAGGAGGATCATGAGCATCAGGAGGGTAAAACCTGGGAAAGGGATATTTTAGACCAGCGTTTAAGTCATAAGCTGGAGGAAAAAAATCAGAATCTCTGCAAAGGTTTCCCTGAATGTCTCTTGTTAGCTACAACCAAAGTTTTGATATATTGAAAAGCAAATACACTTTATTTTAGTTAAACAGGAGCCATTCAGCCAAACTGACATCTTCTGTTAGCTGTTATTTATTTTTTTTACTGACTAACATGCTGTATTGATCCAACACGTAAATAACAGTGTCATCAGCGTACAGACAGGATGAAAAGGATGGGACCTAAGATGGCTCCTTGAGGAATCCCCATTTGAATTTCCAATTTAAACTAATGTTTTCCAGCTCCTTTTAATAACCCAAATTATACCTTTCAGAGGTTTGATTTTTCTAATTTCCTGTGCAGATGGACGGTGATTTAAAATGGGATTTAAAGAGATTGAAAACATTGTGACTGGATGATTATTGTTTGCAAAGTGTCGATACTTTAACGGCGCCTCAAGCAGCTACAGCACATTGTTTATTCATTGTTAGGTTTCAGGAATAAACCACTAGAAGATGGAGATTTTGTCGCTTTATTTTGAAATTTGTGGTGTCGTCATAGCAACCACCCTCCTCACTTATGGTTTCTTTGAGTAATGATCTAACAAACTAACAGATAATGAACACAAACTATGGTCACAAGAACAGATCAACAAAAATGACTTGCATGGAAGTCAGCCTCAGCAACAACGTCAGAGTTTAGCTAATTGAAAATTGATTGATTGGTGTATATATATATATATATATTCTTCTGAAATTATCTTTAAAGTCAGGTTTAATAATTTTCAGCATAAAAAATAAATAAATGGATCTCACTAAGAATGCACCAGAATCTGAGTTGTGTGCATGTGGGCGTTTATTTGGATGTAGAGTTAGCAGAATTAGCAGTTAGCCTTGGTTGGTTTACTGTGGATTCCTTCTCTTGTAAACAATAATTATAAAGTAAAACAAGCAGCAACAGCGAGTATCTACCTGCATGTGACGGAAATGGGTGGAAAATAGACGGGGGAGTGATAGCAAGGCTGGCTAATGTTAGCATCTTTCCACCAATGACGTGAATACAGGTGGATTGCAACACCTTTTAGATGTTAGAAACGTCAATTTCCAGGTAATGACTCCTTTAAAATGTTTCTGCAGATGTTTCTTAGATTTGAAAGGCGGCGTATTCGCTTCATACGAAGTAAAGAAAAAGCATTCAAATAAAAGCTAAACGTTTTTTGTATCACCACACAAACAAAGCCCCCGCTAAGCACAGTTAGCTTTGTCCTGTTCTAGTTAGCCATAATATTTTGTTAGGGGACTTTGTAATGAATAAACAGATGAGCGGGAATTTATTGTTTTTTTAGTTTATGTCTTTATTGAAATGACACCAGCTAATGTTAAAAGCTCCGGTTGTAAAAGTTGAATGGAAATCCACCAAACAAGGCAATTGATGCGCTGGTTAGGAATAGTCTTTACTAGAGGAAACATCCATCAGGAAGCGCGTATACTGATAGTCCCTGCATCTACTGGCCATCAATAATGCTTTATTTGTTAAAAAGGTTTCTTTGGTGGGGTTAAATAGAGATCTGTGTAACATTTGTTATCAGTGTGTCAGTTTATCATATAAAAGTGGAAAAAAAAAAAAAAGCAACGGTGGCTTTGGAAATTGGCCCCTAAATATATGGGATCAGTTACTCTGATGTCAAAATAAGAAACAAACACAAAACAACTGAAAACAAACTTACCTCGGCCTCTAAAGGCTACGATGCTCAGTTCCGATTTTTTTTGCATTGCCGTTCACATTTCCAAATATATGCGACTTGTATGTGATCTCCTGTGTGAACTGCAGTCATACAACTTAAGTATCCCACATGCGCAGTAGAGGACGCAATGACATCACAGGCCAGCATACTCTGTGTTTACAGAAAGCGCTTCTAACGATCTTTCCCAACCATAAGAACACAATCTTTTCAAGATGGTTAAACATAAATACTGCTCTCTGCATCATCGCCCGCCATGGTTGTTGTTTTTCTTGCCGCTTCTTCATACCAAGACCCAGAATAGCGACCTTTGTCTGTTATTAATGGCGTTCAGATCAGAGGAATGCGACCTGGCCGTTCAGACACGGGTCGCATTTGAAAAGATCAGATTCGTATCGGATTCAGGAACAGAGCCAAGTGACCTGGATCGCATTGGAAAAAATCAGATCTGTGTTGTTCAGACTGCCATGAAAAAATAAGATCCAGGTCGCATATGGGCCTAAAAATCGGATTTGGGTCACTTCAGGCTGCATTGTGAACGTAGCCTTAGTGCGACTAGTGTGAGGTGGTGTTCACTTGTAGTTTAAGTGGGATAATTTGACCCAGATTTAAACTGAATACAAACTTTTAATGAACTATTTGTATAAAAAAAATCAGTTGAAGATTTTAGCCACTTCCTAAGATTGATTCTGAAGGTTTGTCAATTTTCCTTACAAGTAAATATTTAGCTGAACAAGTTAAAAAATATATTTAAGCCTGGATATTTTGAATCATTTCTACCTCCATAGGGGACTCCATCCCTGACATCCACACAAATAACTGTAGCCCAGATAGTTCGATGGAAACCCTATTTGCATCAGCGAACTTTGTTCAAACACTCCGGCTACAGAAGGAGGAGAAAGTTAGAAAACGATGGAGACTGTTGGAGGCTGGATGAGTGAAGCTGAAGCGATAAACCAGGAGCAGACAGCCGGGTCAGTTAGGGAGCTACCCGGCTGCCTTCAGTGGTTGGACCTGAAGGATAGGATGCAAAACTACCAGAGGAGCAGCAACAGCACTGCTGCGCCAAACATTTGCATTGACCAGATTAAAGTCTACACAGTAAAAACTAAAAAAACCAACACCTTTTATAGACTAGAAACACTTACAGTTTAGAAAATCTATCTTAGATTGCGATAAACCCTCCTCCGTTCTTTAAAGGAACAATACCATCTGGAGCAGCACTTTTAAAACCCGTTAGAATCCACAGAGCCGATCGTTTTTAGGCCCGATTTCGGCCCGCCTCTGTGCCAGCAGGTAGCATAACCTGAGATCAGGAGTCTGCAGCCGTCAGCGTCCAGCTGGAGAAAACCTTCGGAGAGCAGCAATGTTATCAGCTTCTGGATTAAAAACATCATTTAGCAAAAATATCTAAACACGGGAAATGGATTTTAAAGACTTAGACTTTAGACTTAGATTTTATTTGTCATTTTGTTTACACAAGTATGAAACAAAAAAGAAACTTCGTTTGGAACAGCTCTCTGGACAATTTCATCTTTTTTTTTAAATAAATAATCTTCTGTTTGATGATGGTTTTAGAGAAAAGTGTATAAAAGTACTTTTTTTCCCCCCAGTCAAATAATAAGAGAAATAGATCTAAAACTAATAAACCGATCTGTTGGTTCATCCCTTTAAAGTATCAGCGACCCTTTGACGTGAAACTGAACTAAAAATGAGCCAATGCTTCGTATTTTCCAGATGTTTCAGAGCTGGACTCCCTGGGGCAGTTAAAAAACGTTTATATTTTAATTCACCTGTATAAAAATAAGAGGAAATGTTAAAAGTAAATTTTCTTCTAACATCTTTTATGAGAAAAAAATCTGATTCAGAATGTCAGATTTTTTAAAGATAATCCAGAACATTACTACGACGGAGTATTATAGCCATGCTAGAGATTCTTTTTATTTTATTTCGAGAATAAAGTCATAATATGAGAATAAAGCCGCTAGCACTGCTGCCACACAGCAAGAAGGTTCCACGTTTGATTCCCGGCCCAGGGTCCTTCTGCATGGAGTCTGCATGTTCTCCCTGAGCATGCGTGGGTTCTCTCCAGGTACTCCTGCTTCCTCCCACAGTCCAAAAACATGACTGTTAGGTTAATTGGCTTCTCTAAATTCTTCGTGGGTGTGAGTGTGAATGGTTCATTGTCCTGTGTGTCTCTGTGCTGCCCTGCGATGGACTGGAGGATGGACCCCGCCTCTCGCCCCTAGACGGCTGGAGATAGGCACCCTGCTTGGGATAAAGTGTGTCAGAAAATGGATGGATGGATGGCATTACAAGAATAAAGTCGTAAAATTACTAGAATAAAGTCATAACATTACGAGAATAAAGAAGTAAAATTACGAGAATAGTCGTAAAATTGCGAGAATAAAGTCGTAACATTATAAGAATAAAGTCTTAACATTACGAGTATAAAGTCGTAACATTACGAGAATAAAGCCGTAACATTACGAGAATAAAACTGTAACATTACGAGAGTAATGTCTTAACATTACGAGAATAAAGTCGTAACATTACGAGAGTAAAGTCGGAAAATTACAAGAATAAAGTTGTAACATTACGAGAATAGAGTTGTAACATTACGAGAATAGAGTCGTAACATTACGAGAATAAAGCCGTACCATTACGAGAATAAAACTGTAACATTACGAGAGTAATGTCTTAACATTACGAGAATAAAGTCGTAACATTACGAGAGTAATGTCTTAACATTACGAGTATAAAGTCGTAACATTACGAGAGTAAAGTCGGAAAATTACAAGAATAAAGTTGTAACATTACGAGAATAGAGTTGTAACATTACGAGAATAGAGTTGTAACATTACGAGAATAGAGTCGTAACATTACGAGAATAAAGCCGTACCATTACGAGAATAAAACTGTAACATTACGAGAGTAATGTCTTAACATTACGAGAATAAAGTCGTAACATTACGAGAGTAATGTCTTAACATTACGAGAGTAATGTCTTAACATTACGAGTATAAAGTCGGAACATTACGAGAATAAAGTCGGAACATTACGAGAATAAAGTCGGAACATTACGAGAATAAAGTCGGAACATTACGAGAATAAAGTCGGAACATTATGAGAATAATGTCTTAACATTACGAGTATAAAGTCGTAACATTACGAGAGTAAAGTCGGAAAATTACAAGAATAAAGTCGTAACATTACGAGAGTAAAGTCGGAAAATTACAAGAATAAAGTCGTAACATTACAAGATATCATAATGTTACGACTTTATTCTTGCAATTTTATGACTATTTTCATTGTCACTTTATTCTCGTAATTTTATGACTTTATTCTTATAATATTACGACTTTGTTCTCGAACTAAAAATAAACAAAACTGTAGCCTGGCCATTATACTCTGTCGTACAATCAACGCTGCCCTACAAAAAAACACAGAAAGCTTAGCATCCTTCCTTTATGGCTTCATACAAGAGGATGAGCACAGCCAGCTTCTGAAAATAAGACATAATAACAAAAAACTGGTTAATATTTCTTTTTATTTATTGATATTTGATCTATTTTAATACTTTATTATAGACACTTAAAGCAAAACAACAACTAATTTCAAATAGATGCTGAATTAAAGCCTTGTTCTTCAGTTTTTCTCTAATTAAAAAACTAAAAATGGTGTCTAATAAAAAATGGAGGTAGTTGTAATTCTCTGCGCTCTGACAGAACCTCCGTAAACAACTACGTCCAGGTCTAAAGATTTATTTTGTGTTTTTCTACTTTTGGTGCTGCTCATCTGACCCCTTTACTGTTATTTACCGTTGCTTTGGTTACGTCTATCTCACCAGGGCAACATTACATCCATTCTGCTTAAAGTTCTACTGTAAGGAACCAGGAAATGATCCCGGTTTGGTCCGGAACCCCAATCAGTCGTGTTTCAGCAGAGTAGACCCATTCAAACACAGATCAGAACCAACATTGTTATACCTTATGAATAGAGTTAGATTTAATGCACCTATTCATCGGTTTTAGAAATGGTTTGTTTACAGGAACAAATGAATGTTAGAAAACAGCAAAACCGCAGCGATCGGTGGTGAGTTACAGCTCAGCTGCTGAAGGGGGAAATTGGACCAAAGCCGTATCCAATCAGAGGCCGGCTAATTCATTTACTTCTAGTTACTGCTCTAAAACAGGACCAATAAAAATGGAAACGCATCATGCATTTTGTGTTTTCTCTGGGTGGGAAAACAGTCAATGGGAACGTAGATCCGATTCTAACCCGGTTTCTGGTTTTTGCAGACGGCCAATGGGAACGTGGAGGCCAAAGTGGTGTGTCTGTTCAGGAGGCGAGACATCTCAGGCAACCTCAACACTTTGGCAGACAGCAACGCAAGTGAGTAGGAACCCCCCCACCCCCCTCCCCTGCAGAGCGGGTGCATGTATGATATGGCTGGCTGCCTTTAATGAGCTCCTTCCTCTTTGTGTTTCACACAAAGCGCCTCCTCAGCTCTTATGTTGTGAATTGTAGCAGGTCTCACTCCAGGGTTAAATTAAAAACACTCCAGGATGATGTTTCTCCATCTCTTAGAGGAGGATCTAAAAGCTGATTTTATTTGAAGTTTATTATTTTTTATCAAATGGGACGGTAGGTTTTAATAAACATTTACATTTAAACCACTGGGGGGCTAATTTACATCTCAGATTGATTTTAAAACACTATAATAACTAAAAGAAAAATGCTGAATAATAATAAAAAAAAAGACGAGAACAAAGCAACTAATGAGGATTAAAAAGGACAAAATGAAATAATATTGCATTTATATAAATAGTTATAAATATAGCACAAAATAATTACATTTACAATTAAATGGTTAAATTTACTATTTATTTAATGCATCATTAAATAAAAAAAATATAAATAAAATAAATAGATTTGAATGAATTTCATTTTAAATGTAATTCCAATTATAAAATGTAATTTCAAATGTAAAACTATTGAAATTGTATATTCAGTATAATATACAATTTAAATTATGACACTGAATGATAAGTCAATTATATTTTATTATTTAACTCTGTATTTATTTATTACCTTTATTACCATTAATAAAAAAATAGAAATTAAATTAATTATATTTCAAATTTCATTTAAATTTGAAATGTAATTCTTAATTAAATTTTGAAATATAAATTTAAATAGTTAGATCTGCCATTAGATCAAAGATACCTGTTTAGATTTATTTTTATTATTAATTAATTTATAAATTATCCTCATTATAATTTAAATCATTTATAAATTATATTAATTATCAAACTCACCCATCAAAGCGAGTGGGAGGGACTTAGTTTTTTTTTTTATTAAAAAAAATTGCGTCGTCTGAGAATTTTTACATTTTATTTAGTAATTTTTGTTATTAAAACAAACAATTAAAAATAAGAAACTTTTTAGAAATGTGTTTCATTAAATCATGAAGAGCAAAGGGAGGATGGTTTCTTTATTAATCTCTCTTTGGTTCTTTGGTCTGTGACGTATTTTAGTGTTTTCTTTATTTGTTTTTTAATATTTTGCTCTGCTGCTATCGGTCTGTAAACACACAGAATCCAGCTGCGCCATTTTGTCGGATGCATCCTTTTAATTTTAGAGTTTTTTCATCTATTCCATAAAATCCTAACATAAGCCTGAGCTATTAGCCTCCATTAGGTGACTTTTATCTATAGAATAATTGCTTGCTAGAATATTTGACTGTTGCCGGCCTACCCGAATCCTGTGGTTCATACGAACCATAGAAACGCTACAAAACTTTCAAAAGTTTCATCCAAAATGCCTGATTGTTTACAACACAGCAGAGGAAACCTCCTGCAGCATCTCAGCTGGTAGATTCACCAAACTCTCACTGCTCTCCAAGAAACCCAGAGATCTGAAGGTTCCTGGATGCCGTTTGCTTTGAGGCTGCAGTTTGTTGAATAAAGTCTCCAAATAATTATAAATCTAAAGGCCCAGAAACACAGCACTGCTGCTCACCTCCAGATAAAAACCAAGCCTCCTGTTTAAATAGATGAGCCAATAATCAATAATCCGTCTCAGGAGGGGCTCCCTCCCTGTGTGCCCCACCCTCAACCAATCCCATCTCCTCCTGGTTGGATCAGCGGTGGGCGGTGCTAACGCCATGCAGACTGGTGAGAATGGATGAGCTTGATTAGACCCTCCCTCCTCCTCCTCATCTTCCTCCTCCTCCTGGTCTACAGTGCTCTTAACAAAGACATTAACACCTAAAATGGAGGCAGCCATGTTGGCGTGTGTGTGCTCTGCCTGCTGGCTGCTTCGCCCCGTCCTGGTAAAGAAGATGTGTTTGATGCCTCAAAGTATCGATGCAGGGATGCTTCTGGAAATGAGATGCGTCAATCAAGCTGCACCGTGGGAAAAAGAAAAAAAAGTTTCAAGCATTTCTGACCCATTTTGGGGTTTTTTATGTTTTTTTTTATGACATTATTTGACATCATGAATAAATGAACACAAAATAGAAAAAAAAAACTAATTTAAAATATTACAACTAATGATATAAAATGCATAGCTAAATGATTTCATTTTCTGATTTAAAAAAGTGATGAAAATTACAGATTATATACTTAAATGTCATTTAAAAAATAATCTATTATAGAATATATAAAATAATATATATATGTATATATATAATCATTACACTTTATATTTGTTCTGTGACGTATGCAATCTTTGACGGACCGGTCGGTACGCGGCTCGCGGCATGTACCTGTTAGACGTAGATTTATTCATTTATTTAGCTTGTTACTTTTTTTTATTCATATTTTTATTGTTGTTAAAACAGATGTACAATGCCATTCAGATTGTACTGTTTTGTTAAAATTCCTTTGATGACAGAGTGCAACATAACAAGAACTACACAGCATTTCAAACAGTTTTATATTTTTATAAACTCCATCCAACCCTGATTGTCCCTGTGCCTCCAAAGAAAAAGAGATTAAATAAATGATAAAATAAGAAAAAAAATAAAAAAGAGGTGAGATTAGTATCCCAAAATGAAAGTGCTTTACATTGAGACTTGTTTACTAGGGAAATATGTAGGACCAACTCTGCCATATTTAAAAATAAATAAATAAATGGTCAATAAATAAATAGGCATTAAATTAACTGCCCCCAAAAATACAATAAACAAATGAATGTAGGTAGAAATTAAATTATTCAGTGAGACATAAATGTATATATCTCTTTTAATAATAGTTTTTATTTCTATTTTCATTGACAGAAATTAGTTTTAACATATATATATATTTGAATTCTCGTTCAAGAAAACTTCTTTGGTGTTACATTTTACTGAAGTTGTTGATAAAGTTTTTATTACTGTACAGAAAAATAAATACTGAACTGTGAGCTTTGCCTGCTGTTACAGCCCTACTATATATTTAGAAACACATATGAAGTGATGGTATTTATATTTGTTGTATTGTTATCTTTGGGGCAACAGTTTGAAACGTTTGGGATCCTCCGCTCTAGAACCAAAACAACCAGACAGGTTTTCTATTCATTTAAAGGTAAATGGAAACGTATCACCTAGGGATGCACGATATAATCGGCCCCCTATCGGTATCGGCCTTAAAACTGAATATCGGACATCGGCCCCCCCACCGATATTTAACCCGATATTTGATCAGCTTCTGAGTTTCTAAAGTCTTAAAAAAAAAAAAAATACTACTTCTTCTTCTTCCTCAAAAACTTCTTTTTTACAGACTTAAAAACTTCTAAAGACGAGGTAAAAAATATTGATACATTAAAATATCCCAATATCTTCATATGCTGATATATTGCCATTTAAAAACACCATATCAATCTCTTTTACTAATGAAATATTGCTATATGTCATCGTTATGCTACGAAATCCCCCGAAAATTCACGAAATGTTGCCATATTTTTATATGTTGATATATTGACGTGGTATCGATATATTTTACTAACAAAATCTCACAACAATTTGTAAAATATCACGAGAGTTTGTAACAGAACGATGAAATTTCACGAGATTTTGAAAGTAAAATAGATCGATACCGCGTTTTTAAAAATCAATTTGATATCAGCATATGAAAATATATTTGAGTTTATTATTTTTCAAAGTGTCAGAAATGGATAACAAAACTGCTATTTTCAATGACTACTTATTTTTGTCCAGCTTTAACATCGGTATCGGTTATTGGCTACACGAGTTATCGGATATCGGCCAAAATCCCAATATCATGCATCCCTAGTATCACCTTTTTTTTTTTGTAGATTTTTTTTTTTATCATTCTTTTTTTTTTTTTTTTCTCTTTTTACAAACCATTTCTTCTCCAATCACATCACATTCTCTTCACTTCATGCCCAATCCAAACGCTCGCTCTTGACCAATGAAAAAGCTGCTAACGTCCGTGCTGACCAATAGAGAGGGAGAAGAAAACCTGCCCTGAGAAGCGAAGAGAACCAGATCTGGGAAATGTAAAATTCCCAAATAAATTTTGTGAAACTCAATCTAAAAATGTCAAAATTTATCAAAAAATCTCAAACCCTGTTTTGAATTAGTAAATTTTATTCCTGGATAGAATTGTTTTCAATTTTCGTTTTTTTACATTTTTTTTTTTTTTTGTAACATTAATGGATCAAACTTGACTCCATAGCTTCTGTTGGAGCGTAGATTCTGTGACGCGGGCCGTATTGAACCCCCCATGTCTTTATGTAGCGGTGAGGAAAAGTTCCCCAGCAGACCTGTGAACCCGTTACCCTCCTCCTTCCCTGCCGTTAGACGCACTCCTCCCAGCATGCTCTGCTCCGCTCAGTTCAGGTGGTCCTGGAACCGTTCTGACGCCTCAGAGCGTCTCTGCTCTTCCTTTTGTCTTAATTACTTCAGCTTATTGCTGGTCCTCACCACAGCCTCCCTCCTCTTCCTCATTCACACACACACAGAGCGGTTCTCTGTGCAGAACTAAAGCCCATAGATCCGTATCTGGTCACATGCAGAATGAACCCAGACTTCTAAGTTGTTCTGATGGGTTTGTTTGAGATTATCTGATGAAGGCGGCTGGAGCTTGTTTAATGTCTTTGTGTGTGTAGGGGGGGAGGGGGAGGGGCGCCTCAGGTTCGTATACAGGGTCTCCCACTTTATCTGGCAGGGAGCAGTCGGCCTGGGTGGGGGGGTGAGAGGTTAAGAGGAAAAGGGGTGTGGCCTGAGTGACTGTCCTCCTCACTGCGTCTTACCCCCCCCTCCCCTCCAATGCCCTCACTGACAGGGTTTCCTCTGGCCGAGTGCAGGGGCGGGGTCCTCGGAGCCCTCCCCTTCACTTTATCACCAATTACTCAGCCTGCTGCTGAAATTAGAAAAGCGCAGCCTGGCGGCCCAGACCGCCATCTGTGGTTCACTTCTTATCACTGTTTGGATGTTAAATCAGAATCAGACATACTTTAATAATCCCAGAGGAATTGACCCCCCCCCCCCGATTTCTAAGCAGACTGGAAACACACCAGGAAGCATCTGAAGTTGTCCCAGTTCTCCCAGAGCTCGGATGTTCAGGTGTTTGGATTAATATTGTCTGTTTGAGCCCAGGATGGCAGCACCTGGTATCCCATCCAGCAGCTCCCCCACACTTTAAAATAATATTTATTTAGTTCAATAATTAAGACCTGTAGATCCAAAGCAGCTCCAAATGTTTGAAATCAATTCAGATGTTTCCAAATTAGGACAATTTGGCCCAGAAATAAAATCTGATTATTTCATAACAAATCTCATTTATCTTTCTTTTTTTTCCCCCCCTTAATAGGGATCTCAGTGAAATACTTTGTAAATTCAAATTTCAAATTTCCAGGACAAGACCTTACTACTTTTGTAACATTCAATAAATCTGGATAATTTGATTGTAAAAATTAATGTCAATATAATAAGAAGAAATGCCAATTTGTCCAAATATAGTAAGAAAAATAAAAGTGCTTCTAGAAGAAATTCATGAAAAACGCTTTGGTCCAACATAACCTTAGAGGCATTAATGCTTATACTGACATTTTCTAGTTTATAAACCTAAATATAATTGTTAACTCTGCTTATTAACTTTTGAACTTTACTTTTGAACTTTTTAATAAGATTTTTAACCTTTTTTTTCCAACTTAATTTCCAGTAGGTAATATATAATTCAAGGCTCGTCTAATTGGTCAAATTCCAAAATCAGATGTGCAGCCATGTAGCAGCATCTTTGCTGAATGGCTGGATATAGATCTTGTGCTTCTAGAACTCACTGACGGACGGGGGGGAGACTCCATTCAAAAGGGGTACTCAAGTAATCCAAAACTCTAACTTTCCCTATTAAGTGTTAAGTTTGTCCAAAAAAAACCGGTTAAAGACGTAAATTACTTTCTTTTATTTCAACCGTCATTTAAAGTTGTGCTGAATCCAGTCATTATCAGATCTTTGATATGCTTTTCTAACAGGCCACGCCCAGATCTATGACATTGAGAGTTGAATTGAATCGTAAATTGAGAGTAATATAATCACTGATTCTGCGTTTTTAAGTGTTTGTTCTGTTCTGGCGGGTTTTATTGTGAAGTTGATCTATTTATTAACGTTTAATCAAATCGCCCTTTAAATGATGCTAATAGGACTAAATGCTCTCTGATGGGAGAATGTTGTGGGAATTTTCTGGAGGTTCTACGTTTTTTTCAAAGAAAACAGTTTATTTTCTATCATGGAAGGACATCTGAACACGACGGATTTAAAGCTACGTTCACACCGAACGCGATTTCTGCATCAGAAGCAGCAGTTTTACACGCAAAGCCTGTGGTTGACGCTATGCAAGGCGCATCAAAATGTCTTGCAGCGCGTCTAGAGCAGCTGAAGCAGCGCTTCATGAGTTTCAGAAGCAGCATCTGCTTGAGTTGGAAAATATTAACTTTTGCTGCTGGACGCGCCGCATCAACCAATCAGAGAAGCTGATCTGGGAGCTGGCAGGGAGACAGACACAGCACTGCTGATGCAGAGCGCTATGATCACTCCTCTGATGTAGGACCATTCTGGACCAAGACAAATGTTTTCTCTATTTATCATCTCTATCTTGCTGTCAGGGAGGGAAGTCATCTGCTCATCAGTGTTCCAAACGATGATCGGCAGACTAACCTCTGCTGCTTTTCTGTGCTCTTTGTTAAATGTTGCCGATTTGTTTTTAATCTTTCAGGAGAATTCGAGGAGGAGTCGAAGCAGCCGCCGCTGGCGGAGCAACAGAAACACCAGCTGAAGCACAGGGAGCTCTTCCTGTCTCGACAGTTCGAGTCTCTACCTGCCACTCATATACGGTGTGTGTTCGTTTGGTCAGAAGGTCCTCCTGATGGCAGCGTGGTCGTTGGTCCGGACTCAGAACCACCCGCCTTCCTTCCTCTGAACGTAGAGCGGTTTGGATGCAGATGCAACATTATTAAACATCTCCGCTTTCATGGAGCCAAAAACGGTTGTTAAACAAAATGAAATTAAAAAATGAATGTTAACTGAATTAATTTATTATTTTTATTATTTTTAAAAATCTGTTTCAAATAGGGCTGAATCAATTAATCTGATTTATCAATTATTGAAATAATCAACTGATTAATTTTGGAGTACAGAGACTAAAATATGCCTTTAGTTGACAGAACGAGCCACTTAAAGCAGTAATTATATAAAAATAAAAAAATATATATATATTCATGTTTTGCAATAAAGATAAGAAAAATGTTCCTCTGTCAATATGCTCTATCCTACGACGGAGTATTAGGGCCAGGCTAGAGATTTCTCTATTTTATTTCGAGAATAAAGTCGTAATATTATGAGAATAAAGTCATAAAATTATGAGATTAAAGTTGAAAACTAACGAGGACAACCCGTTTCCGAAAGAAAGCTTGGAGCTCCGCCCAGCAAATGACGTCAGACCAGCTCCACCAATCAGCAACCAGAGTCCACTTTAGCATCGGTTTGACAAATCAGGAAATCTTTTAGCAGCAGCATCAAACTGGGCAGGATGTCAAAGTATAACTTCCCATGATGCTCCACATTCCTCATTTTAGGGAAGAAAGGGCTTGGAAAAGTTCTCATAAAATTCAAGTTGATTTTCGTAATATCAGGACTCTATTCTTGTAACACTACAAACTTTATTCTCATAATGTTACCACTTTATTATAATATAGTAACTTTTTTCTCGTAATGTTCCGACTTTATTCTCATAATATTACGACTTTGTTCTCATAATGTTACCACTTTATTCTTATAATATAGTAACTTTATTCTCGTAATTTTATGACTTTATTCTCATCATGTACCGACTTTGTTCTCATAATGTTACGACTTTGTTCTCATGTTACCACTTTATTCTTATAATATAGTAACTTTATTCTCGTAATTTTATGACTTTATTCTCGTAATGTACCGACTTTATTCTCATCATGTACCGACTTTGTTCTCATAATGTTACGACTTTGTTCTCATGTTACCACTTTATTCTTATAATATAGTAACTTTATTCTCGTAATTTTATGACTTTATTCTCGTAATGTACCGACTTTATTCTCATCATGTACCGACTTTGTTCTCATAATATTACGACTTTGTTCTCATAATGTTACCACTTTATTCTTATAATATAGTAACTTTATTCTCGTAATTTTATGACTTTATTCTCGTAATGTACCGACTTTATTCTCATCATGTACCGACTTTGTTCTCATAATATTACGACTTTGTTCTCATAATGTTACCACTTTATTCTTATAATATAGTAACTTTATTCTCGTAATTTTATGACTTTATTCTCGTAATGTACCGACTTTATTCTCATCATGTACCGACTTTGTTCTCATAATGTTACGACTTTATTCTCATGTTACCACTTTATTCTTATAATATAGTAACTTTATTCTCGTAATTTTATGACTTTTTTCTCGTAATGTTCCGACTTTATTCTCATAATGTTACGACTTTGTTCTCATAAAATTACGACTTTATTCTCATATTACCACTTTATTCTTATAATATAGTAACTTTATTCTCGTAATTTTATGACTTTATTCTCGTAATTTTATGACTTTATTCTCGTAATGTTCCGACTTTGTTCTTATAATGTTACGACTTTATTCTCATGTTACCACTTTATTCTTATAATATAGTAACTTTATTCTCGTAATTTTATGACTTTATTCTCGTAATGTTACGACTTTGTTCTCATAATGTTCCGACTTTGTTCTCATAAAGTTACGACTTTATTCTCATATTACCACTTTATTCTTATAATATAGTAACTTTATTCTCGTAATTTTATGACTTTATTCTCGTAATTTTATGACTTTATTCTCGTAATGTTACGACTTTGTTCTTATAATGTTACGACTTTATTCTCATGTTACCACTTTCTTCTTATAATATAGTAACTTTATTCTCGTAATTTTATGACTTCATTCTCGGAAAGTTTCCCGACTTTATTCTAATAATCTTATGACTTTGTTCTCATAATGTTACGACTTTATTCTCATATTACCACTTTATTCTTATAATATAGTAACTTTATTCTCGTAATTTTATGACTTTATTCTCGTAATTTTATGACTTTATTCTCGTAATGTTACGACTTTGTTCTTATAATGTTACGACTTTATTCTCATGTTACCACTTTCTTCTTATAATATAGTAACTTTATTCTCGTAATTTTATGACTTCATTCTCGGAAAGTTTCCTGACTTTATTCTAATAATCTTATGACTTTGTTCTCATAATGTTACGACTTTATTCTCGTAATGTTACAACTTTTCTCTTGTAATTTTACAACTTTTTCCTCGTAATTTACGACTTTATTCTCGTAATTTTGTGAATTTATTCTCGTAACTTTGCAAGTTTATTCTCAAAATGAAGACAACTATTTTTTTTTTGCCTGGAACTAATACTGTGTCGTACTATCCAGAACTCCTCAAGTGGAAAAGTTTTTGTTTCGCCTGGTTTAATTTAGAAAAAAGTCTTGTTTGGCTATACGATTATTGATTGATTAACCGGACAAATAATCTGGCCCCTGGTTGTGGGGGCGGGGCTAAGGTGCCTTAATAGAACATTTTGAACCTGGATGTTGCTTTTAGAAATAACGTTTTAAATATACAACTCATTTAATTTTGTTGTTATTTTTTATTAATTCGTTTTTTTTTTTTTTTTCACTGCTGCTCTGATGAAGTTTTGTTTTTCAAAGCTGCTCCTCTCTGTCTCTGCAGGGGGAAATGTAACGTGACCCTCCTCAATGAAACCGACGTCCTGGCTGGTTACCTGGAGAAAGAAGTAAGCCGCCACTAGGGGGCTCTGTTCCTTTAAGGGCTCCTGGTTTGTCGCCTCGTAACCTGGAAGTAAAAGTTTGATCTTAGAAAAATCTAATTTTTACAAATTTTTAAGATGTTTTGCATTTCTCATGCTGCAAAGTATAAATAGGAGAAAACACTACCTGGTCCCTGCTGCTGAAAGCCCAGCCCCCTCAGCATGATGCAGCTATCCCGTTGCTTTGCTGTTGGGATGGACTCCCTACACCAGACATAGTTTATTCTGCTGAGCAGAGCTCAGGCCTGTGGGGAGCTGCCCACGTACCTTTTGGCAAATTCGTCTTGTTCCATTTGCAAAGTGTCTCACTTTGCTCATCAATTCAATTAGATTTTTTCCAGTGTAGCGGCGCCTCTCTCTGATTGGTTGTTGTGACTTGCCGGCTGCTTGTGAAGAGCCTCGGATGCCTAAATGCTCCTGACGTGCGGTTTTAGCCGCCATCCATTGTTTCTTCAGTTTTTTCCCCCTAAAGGTTCTTGTGATGTTTTTAGCAGAGAAGCACTGATTGCAGTTTTCTGGCCGATCGCTGATCTTTGAACATGAGGATTAGCTATTTTGACCGATAGCAGCCGATCAATCAGTGCACCTATCGGCTGTTAACCTTTTAACGTCTGCTGCCTAGGACTGTTTCTTCTACTCGCTGGTGTTTGACCCGGTCCAAAAGACGCTGCTGGCAGACCAGGGGGAGATCCGGGTGGGCTCCAAATACCAGGCAGAGATTCCTGACAAACTGGCTGAAGGTTGGTTCCCTGCAAGGCTTTAGAGGTTCTTTATTTTCTCTAAATCATTTTAGAGCTTTAACTTTCCTGATGTTTTATTAGCGGTTTAATTACACATCTGATCTGATTCAAAAGTTCTAAATCAAATCGGACCTAAAATGGAGAAAGTTCAGTAGAATTAGGAGGAATAGTGTCTTTACTTCCTGCTTTCTACCAGACATCTTCAGAAACGTTTTTTTTTTTTTTTTTAAACCAGGCCTGAAAACATCCAGTTGAGCTTTTCTTTCCTCTGGCTCTCAGGTGAACCTGACACCCGGGTCCAGGAGAAGATGGAGACGAAGGTCTGGGACCCGGACAACCAGCTGAAAGACACGCAGATCGACCAGTTCCTCGTCGTTGCTAGGTAACGCTTCCCGCAGCAATACCGGCTCAGAACTGTTAGCACGGTAGCTTCTAAGCAAACATTCATCAGTTGGAGGCGGAGCCTAACCACAGCATTTATGGGTGTTTCTCGATTCATAAGAACGTGAGTACGGACTCGTGTCCTCGCCAAGTCTGATCAAATCAAATGAGCCTTTTTTCCGTTAGCCCGTCTGCAGCAGCCAGGGCTAATGTTAGTGCTAACCCTCTCTCAGCATAGCCGTTTGTAAAGGACCGCTGGCTCTGATGGAGGTTTTTTTGTTTTATTTGGCAAAACGCTCATTTGATTTGTGTTTATCTGACTGTGTTCATTATTATTCCCCCAATAAATGAAGAAAGTCAGAATTTATTATTATCTAGAGACTAGGGCTGGGCGATAATTCAATAACGATATATATCGATCGATAGACGTGTGGCGCAATAGAAAAAAAGAGAGTCGATAAAAGTTCGATAAAAAAGAAACGCAGTTTTCCTTCCTTCTCATTGTAGCCTAGCATGTAGGTTTATGCTAGTCACTGCTTCCTCCCAACCAATCACAATCGCGGACCCAGGCACGCCGTCATCAAGCGCCGCCCTCTCAAACCACAACACAGAGCACATGAAGATGTGCAGCAAGGAGAGGCGGAGGAAATTGCTCCAAAGAAGGGTTTTTGTAGTTCGGCTGTCTGGCAGTATTTGGGTCATGGCAAGTCGGACAAAAAACAAACCACAGTCATCTGGAAAATGTGTCGGGAACCAGTGAAAACTAAGTCTGATAACACAACCAACTTTTTTTTTTTTTTTTATCATCTCAGCCGCTCACAGCCGCAGGAGTACGAGCTGTGTAGGCCCCGACATGGCTCTCCTCCGAGGAATCTTCGGGAAAATATATATATATATATTTTCAGTTCTGGGCAGTTTCCCACGTAGTTCTAACAGTTGAGATAAAAATGCTGAGGGGCCAGAAACTTCAAAGTAATAACTCAGGTTAAAGCCGGAAACGGGGGCGGCGGTGGGGGGGCATTTATTTATTTGTTATATTTATTTTGGTCACTTTAGTTTATTCTTTGTCAGTATTTAATAACATAACTCAGGTCTCTTAAGTTATTTTTCTTTAAAACAATTCTGTTATGGTTAAAAAAGTTAAATAAAGATTTAATTCGAAGTCTGTGTTTGTGTCTTTTATTAAAATTAAATCATTTAGCAATATTATAAAAAGTCCAGGCAGAGCTGCACATAAAATATGGTTTACAATCTTTTCAATAATTATCGATATCAATCAATATGCATTTTTTTTTATCGATAAGCTTTTTTTCTATATCGCCCAGCCCTACTAGAGACTACTAATAACAGGAGGTTAAACTCCAGACGAGCTTTGAATGTGGTGATGTCATCGGTACGCTTCTGTTCCAGTTGACCCAGAGTCCAGACTTTCCTGGGTTCTTCTCAGGAACAGACTCGGCGAGAACACGAGTCTGTACTCGCGTTCTTGTGGATTAAGAAACTGCTTTTTTCTGTCTTCTTGTGAATTGAAACAGCATTAGGGCTGAGGCTGATGACGTTTCACGAGAAAATGAGAATGCACAAGTAGACATTGAGAATCAAACTGTGATTCCTGCCTTTTTTGTTTGCTTTATTTGCAAATAATTAATTTTCTTAATCAGAACAGATGCTCCCTCTAGTGGCTGTCTGACGGAACATCAGCAGAGTTGTCACCTTTGTGTTTCAGAGCTGTGGGAACATTTGCGCGCGCCTTGGACTGCAGCAGCTCCATCCGTCAGCCCAGCCTCCACATGAGCGCCGCCGCAGCCTCCAGAGACATCACCCTGGTTAGAGCAAACCTCCACTGATCGACCTTTACAGCCGCTCATGTTCCGCAGCTCGTTCCCAACCTCGTTTCTCCTCTGCTAGTTCCACGCCATGGACACGTTGCAGAAGAACGGCTACGACCTGGCCAAAGCCATGTCCACCCTGGTCCCTCAGGGGGGCCCCGTGCTTTGCCGGGACGAGATGGAGGAGTGGAGCGCCTCGGAGGCCATGCTGTTCGAGGAAGCTCTGGAGAAATACGGCAAAGACTTCAACGACATCCGCCAGGACTTTGTGAGCTCCCCTTCTATCTGCCGCGTCACCGTTTGTTTTCTCTTCCATCAAACCGACTGTTTTTCCTTCCCTCCAGCTGCCCTGGAAGTCTCTGGCCAGTGTGGTCCAGTTCTACTACATGTGGAAAACCACCGACCGCTACATTCAGCAGGTCAGTCCAGTTGGCTTCTTCTCTTCCTCCTCACAGAATCAGACATTTTAACCAATCAGAAATGTTTTGCTTTTCTCCTCAGAAACGACTAAAGGCAGCAGAGGCAGACAGCAAACTCAAGCAGGTCTACATTCCCACCTAGTGAGTATCAGCAGATAAACGCAGCGTCTGCTTCCAGCTCAGGGCGCCTCTCTCAGATAAACTCTGCTCTGTTCTTCAGCACCAAACCCAACCCCAACCAGATCATGATGCCGGGCAGCAAGCCTGGTCTGAACGGAGCCGCGGGCTTTCAGAAGGGACTGAGCTGTGAGAGCTGCCACAGTGAGTAACCATGACGCATCCTAAAGCCTGGTTTATGCTCAGAAACCAGTTAATGCAGATACGCCCCGCCCCTTCCGCAGGTGACCGCAGACAGGAGGCCTCTGATCGTTCAAATCGACATCCGCTCTACCCTATGCTCTATATGAATCTCTTTATTGCCCCAGAATGGGGAAATTCTGATGATTACGGCAGCAAAAAGATTATTGAAAAAAATGTTCACACAAATGTGGACCTTAGAAAATTAGTTAGTTAATAGTGAAGAGTGAGAAAGCTGCCGACCCATGGACCCATTTTTTCCCATTAATGAATAAGACCTGCCACAGTCTGATATAGACACAGAGAGAGAAAACAACAACAACAAAAATATGTCAGTTTATCAGACCATTCCACAGCTGTCCTTTCATACCACCCGGTATGAAAGGAAGAATGCATTCCACCCTAACACTAACCGTCATAGATGGTCGGTGGCGGTTCTACTCTAAAACCAACTGGCGCTTGGAGTGGTGGCCAGTTATATTATTTTTTTCGTAGTGTGTGTCCGGCCCTCCTTTATAAAAATGCCGCCCCGGCTGCCCGGTTCGCCTGTGCAGTGTTGTCAACTCAGAGACTTTGTCGCTATATTTAGCGACTTTTCAGACCCTCCAGTGACTCTTTTTCAGAAAAACTACTAGCGACAAATCTTTTCTGGTGTCACTGGCGGCTTTAAGAGACTCTTAGATTAGGGATGCACGATATAATCGGCCCCTATCGGTATCGGCCTTAAAACTGAATATCGGACATCGGCCACCCCACCGATATTTAACCCGATATTTGATCAGCTTCTGAGTTTCTAAAGTCTAAAAAAAAAAAAAATACTACTTGTTCTTCCTCAAAAACTCTTCTACAGACTTAAAAACTATTGAAAAAATATTGATCCATTAAAATATCCCAATATCTTCATATGCTGATATATTGCCATTTAAAAACACCATATCAATCTCTTTTACTAATGAAATATTGCTATATGTCATCGTTATGCTACGAAATCCCCCGAAAATTCACCAAATGTTGCCATATTTTTATATGTTGATATATTGACGCGGTATCGATCTATTTTACTAACAAAATCTCACAAGAATTTGCAAAATATCACGAGAGTTTGTAACAGAACGATGAAATTTCACCAGATTTTGAAAGTAAAATAGATCGATACTCGTTTTTAAAGCTCTATTTGATATCAGCATATGAAAATATATTTGAGTATATTATTTTTCAAAGTGTCAGAAATGGATAACAAAACTGCTATTTTCAATGACTACTTATTTTTGTCCAGCTTTAACATCGATATCAATATCGGTTATCGGCTACATGAGTTTTAAAATATCAGATATCGGCCAAAATCCCAATATCGTGCGTCCCTATCTTAGATGAAAGCACGTATCGTTCCTACTCCTGTCCTCCAGCCGTAGGTGCTGCCGTGGAGCGCCTCCCCCGTCCCAACCCCGTTGTCCTGCTTCCGCAAGAGTCCTTCTCAGGGCTGCAGTCAGAGCCACAGCATGTTCACCCTCACGGAGTGAGCGGGATGTAAATTTAAATTGTTATTTGGTCTAAAATAAATAGATTAATTTTAAATGTTTATCTTAAATAATGGCATTTGATTCACACAGCAACAGTCACTGAATCAACTTGTCCATTGTGTTTTCCTCTCTAAGATAATGATTTGTAGGCTCCTTAGTGAACCACAAGGGAAGAAAGAAAATTTTTTTTAAAATGTGGCCTCAAAAATGCACTTAAAGGGGAACGCCGTTTTTTTTTTTTTTTTTTACATTGGGCCCTTGATTTTACATTATTCCATCATGTTCTACTCACCCATATGAATCTTGTGTCATTTATCATATGGGTGAGTAGAGCATGATGGAATAACGTAAAATCAAGGGCCTAATGTAAAAAAAATGGTGTCCCCCTTTAAGTGGGATACACCACGTTTAAAAATGTGTACAACCCCCGAGGGTCAGAGACTCTCCCACCACAGTCTCCTAAAATCCTGTGGGAAAAACTGCTGGACCTGTTTGAATTCACAGCCAAGACTCTTCCTGTCTCCTTATTGTCAAGAAGTTTGACAGAACCAGTGCAGGTTTCTGCGGGTCATTAAAAGTAATTAAATTATTATTTTTTAAATTAAGGCCTTAATTGGCATTAAAATTCATAAAATTTGATAATCGTGGCATTAAAATGCTTCAGAAAAGAAGCTTGAGGCAGAGAAAAGGTAAGAGAATGGAGAAAAATGCTAATTTGAACCAAAGTGGCGGGAAAACGAGGAACTTGGGACATGGCTGCAGGATTTTGCCGTGTATATATATATATAAGTCATGGGTACATGTTGATGGCACTAAGATTATTTTTAAGAGCATTAAAAAGCATTAAATAAGAGTTACTCATTCATATATAAACATTGTACTTCCACATTAACCAATCAGAACTTATGGTACCGATGGTGCGGATCGAATATTCACAATCAGATCCTCCGCCTGTCGCTGCTCTGTGGTCCGGCTAGCTAGCTAACTCCACTTTCTGTTTGTCACAGCAACCTGGTTATCTCCCGGTTAATATGGCGTCTCTAACCTGTTTCCCCCCCAGCGGCCCAGTCCCCCCAGTGGTACGCCTGGGGTCCTCCGAACATGCAGTGCCGACTCTGCGCCTCATGTTGGATCTACTGGAAGAAATACGGCGGTCTGAAGACCCCAACTCAGCTAGAAGGAGCGACTAGAGCCGGCTCTGTAAGCGAGCCGTCATCTTGCTTCCTCACAAGCTTTTTGGGTCTTCTTTCATTTTTATTTTTTCTGTCTGCGTTTTCGCGTAGGAGGCCGGCCCCCGCGCTCACATGACCCGCCAGGAGGTCCAGGGCCTTTCGCCGTTCACTCGCAACGAGGGCCGAGCCAAGCTGCTGGCCAAGAACCGCCAGACGTTCATCCTGCAGACCACCAAGCTGACCCGCATCGCACGGCGGGTGTGCGAGGACATCCTGCAGCCGCGGCGTGCTGCGAGGAGACCCTACGCCTCCATCAACGCCAACGCGGTCAAGGCCGAGTGTACGAATGGCCGCTCAGAGCGCTTAAAGGCCTGAGAGGAGAGGTGCTGTCTGACTCTGAATGTCTGTTTTCTTCAGGTATGATCCGGCTGCCCAAAGCCACCAAGTCTCCGCTAAAGAGCAAAGTGATTCCCCGGCAGTCTCTGGCCGCCATAGTGAAGGATTTAGGTCGGTTAACCATTCATTTACAGATCAAATAAACCTGTGGGCTGGTTTTTGGAAGCCACTCTCATCTCCTCTCTCTCTCTCTGAAGCCATCTCAGCTCCTCTGAAACTGAAGGCCTCCAGAGGTCCTCCGACGCCCATCAACAGGAACCAGGTCAGCCAGCCACGCGTGGCCCAAAGCCTGCTGGGAAAAAGAGGCTTCGATGCGGTCAGTGTTTCCCGCTCACCCAGGAACCCTGTATGCTAGCATGCTAGCTATAGTGCAGCTTCTTTTGCTAGTAGGACTGAAACTAACCATTATTTTGCTGATTGATTTAATCTGTCAATGATTTTGATTAATAATCGGATAGCCAAAGGTACCCAAAGAAGACTTTTTTGCAAAATAAACCAGGTGAAGCTAAAACTTTTCCCCTTGAGGAGTTCTGGATAGAAGAAAACGTTTTTTTTTATTAATCTGAAATGCTAAATGTTTATTTATTTGTATATTTTTACAAAGGTGTGTTTTAAAGTCTCTATACTCCAATTAACAATTAATCGATTACTGAATTAGTTGCCGATTAAGGTATTTTACCGACTGAATAGCGCACCTCACTATAAGCCACACCCCCAAATTTGTTCTTTTTTTTTTTTTTACTGGAAATGTACATAAATAAGCCGCATCGGGCTATAAACCGATGATATCTACTGAACCGTCTCCCACCAAACCTGTAGGGGGAGCTCTACATATATCCACTGGAGTAGGGACCAAGAAGACTGCTTGCTCCCGTTAGCTTGTTAGCTCGCAGCAGTACGAGCTTCTACTGAAAGTTGGAGCTTCATCAGCTCTTTATTTCAGCTCTGCAGGAGTTGATTTCAGTCTCTTTATTGGATCGGCAGCTTTAATACAGCAAATAAACATCAAAATGTGTGAATTCAGGACATTTGTTCTCCACCCTACCTGCTGCTAGAATGTTCTTATGCTAAATGAAAATTAGCCCCTATTCTTTCATTTCCAACTTTGGCTTCTCCCTATGGTGGATTGGAAAAATCCACAGAAAAGCTGCAGCTTGTTATAAGCCGCATGGTTCAAAGTGTTCAAAATAGCAGCTTATATTCTGGATAATACGGTATTTCCATAATAAAATAATCAGATTAATCCAGTGGTTCTCAAACTTTTTCTGTCATTCCCCACTTTGGACAAGGGGGAATTTTCAAGCCCCGCCTGTCCCCATCGCCCCAACACAATGCTAATGAAATATTCAACAATCTTAAAATGTTCCAATTTTATTGAAGTAACAAGTAGTATCTAAATACAAATCTACATCAAATAACAGCAAGCTCAAAAATAAAGAAAATAAAAATGCAGCTGTGTCAAAATTTGTATCAAGCTCAAAGATAGAAACAATTAAAGTGCCACTCTGCAATCTGTTAATAAAAGAAAAGAAGTGAAATCCATCTGGCAAGACAGTTTATCCCTGCATTAGTGGCTGCAATGAGCCTGTTTTGCATTGCAGTTTCTCAAAACGGGGTTGCAGGCTTGATACTGCCACTCTCAAGTCATGCTCAATGTTCTGCTGAGATCTGTATTTTGTTTTCAGTGAAGCAGCAGCTGAAAAGCCCATCTCACAGAGATATGATGTGGCAAAGGGAAGAAGAATGCACACAGCTCTCTGCCCGATGAGTGGATACTCCCTCTCCACTCCAAACCAGAAACATGAACATGTGGCTGTGTGAATCAAACGCCGTTATTTATTTAAGATAAAATATTTCAAATTCAGTTATTTATGATCAACCTGCGCCGTCAATCCCGGCGCATGTGCGCTTTATTTGCAGTCTGGACGCAAAAGTTAAACATGCTGTGTCTCTGCTCTGACTGCAGCGCTGATAGGGACTCCTGCAATAGCGGGGGAGAACGGGGTTGGGACGGGGGAGGCGCCCCACGGCAGCACCTGCCGCTGGAGGACAAGAAAAGGAACGATACGTGCTTTCACGTAAGAGTCTCCAAAAGGCGCTAGATTTGTTTTTTTGAAAAAGAGTCGCTGGAGGGGTCTGAAATATAGCGACAAAGTCGCTGAGTTGGCAACACTGGGGTGCGAAAGTTTATTCTGTTACAAATAATATGCCGACGTCACGTCAATCATTATTTTGGCACTTCAGTTCCAGGGGAAATTTTTCTCATATCTAATGTTCTTTTAATTAGACTGCATGTAGGCTAGTAATGATTACTTTGTGGGTTTGATTGGTCTAAAAAGCGGCAACATACAGCTATAAGGACAGTTTGCTCTCACACATTCTACATTTATAGTCACACACACACACACACACACACACCGGAACTTGGCGCGCCCCACCTGTCACGTCTCAATTCCCCACCAGTGGGTCGCGCCACACACTTTGAGAACCGCGGGATTAATCGTTTCAGCCCTATTTGCTAGCTTCATGTTACCTTAGCTTGGTTCCTTTAATTCTGGCTTCTTCTGGCCACCCACAGGCTACAGGTGTGCCCTACCCGGCCAATGGCAGGCCGTACACGTCGGGCATGAGAACCACCTCCCAGTCGGTCATCAAGCGGCAGAAGGTCAGCCAGGGAGAAGCTCCCAACCCAGTGGTGTTTGTGGCCACGAAGGACACCAGGTAAACGACGGCACCACGGCGCCACAGGAGAATAAAATAACCTGAAACTCATGAACGCTTCCATTTATTTAACAGGAAGGGGCTTGTTTCATTAAACCCGACAGCACAGATTAGCTGAGGCTACAGATCAGATTACGTAGAAGCAATCTTTATGAAACGAAACAGAAGAAAATGAACGTTTTATCTCAACTTTTAGAAGTTTATACGTGTACAGGACTTCAAAGCAAATCGCTCATAAACAGGAGTTGCAAACAGCGAAACTCCAAAGCTAAATGCAGCCAGGTCTAACGTTAGCCCTTCTGCAGCAATGAGGTCTAACGTTAGTTCGTCTGCAGCAGCCAGGGCTAACGTTAGCCCTTCTGCAGCAGCCAGGTCTAACGCTAGCCCTTCTGCAGCCAGGTCTAACATTAGTCCGTCTGCAGCAGCCAGGGCTAACGTTAGCCCTTCTGCAGCAACCAGGTCTAACATTAGTCCGTCTGCAGCAATGAGGTCTAACGTTAGTTCGTCTGCAGCAGCCAGGGCTAGCGTTAGCCCTTCTGCAGCAGCCAGGTCTAACGCTAGCCCTTCTGCAGCAGCCAAGGCTAACGTTAGCCCATCTGCAGCAGCCAGGCCTAACGCTAGCCCTTCTGCAGCAGCCAGGGCTAACGTTAGCCCTTCTGCAGCAGCCAGGTCTAACGCTAGCCCTTCTGCAGCAGCCAAGGCTAACGTTAGCCCATCTGCAGCAGCCAGGCCTAACGCTAGCCCTTCTGCAGCAACCAGGTCTAACATTAGTTCGTCTGCAGCAGCCAGGGCTAACGTTAGCCCGTCTGCAGCAGCCAGGGCTAACGTTAGCCCTTCTGCAGCAGCCAGGTCTAACGCTAGCCCTTCTGCAGCCAGGTCTAACATTAGTCCGTCTGCAGCAGCCAGGGCTAACGTTAGCCCTTCTGCAGCAACCAGGTCTAACATTAGTCCGTCTGCAGCAATGAGGTCTAACGTTAGTTCGTCTGCAGCAGCCAGGGCTAACGTTAGCCCTTCTGCAGCAGCCAGGTCTAACGCTAGCCCTTCTGCAGCCAGGTCTAACATTAGTCCGTCTGCAGCAGCCAGGGCTAACGTTAGCCCTTCTGCAGCAGCCAGGTCTAACGCTAGCCCTTCTGCAACCAGGTCTAACATTAGTTCGTCTGCAGCAGCCAGGGCTAACGTTAGCCCGTCTGCAGCAACTAGGGCTAACGCTAGTCCGTCTGCAGCAGCCAGGGCTAACGTTAGCCCTTCTGCAGCAGCCAGGTCTAACGCTAGCCCTTCTGCAGCAGCCAAGGCTAACGTTAGCCCATCTGCAGCAGCCAGGGCTAACGCTAGCCCTTCTGGAGCAACCAGGTCTAACATTAGTTCGTCTGCAGCAGCCAGGGCTAACGTTAGCCCTTCTGCAGCACCCAGGGCTAACGCTAGCCCTTCTGCAGCAACCAGGTCTAACGTTAGTTCGTCTGCAGCAGCCAGGGCTAACGTTAGCCCGTCTGCAGCAGCCAGGGCTAACGTTAGCCCTTCTGCAGCAGCCAGGTCTAACATTAGTCCGTCTGCAGCAGCCAGGGCTAACGTTAGCCCTTCTGCAGCAGCCAGGTCTAACGCTAGTCCGTCTGCAGCAGCCAGGGCTAACGCTAGCCCTTCTGCAGCAGCCAGGGCTAACGCTAGCCCTTCTGCAGCAACCAGGTCTAACATTAGTCCGTCTGCAGCAATGAGGTCTAACGTTAGTTCGTCTGCAGCAGCCAGGGCTAACGTTAGCCCGTCTGCAGCAGCCAGGGCTAACGTTAGCCCTTCTGCAGCAGCCAGGTCTAACGCTAGCCCTTCTGCAGCCAGGTCTAACATTAGTCTGTCTGCAGCAGCCAGGGCTAACGTTAGCCCTTCTGCAGCAACCAGGTCTAACATTAATCCGTCTGCAGCAATGAGGTCTAACGTTAGTTCGTCTGCAGCAGCCAGGGCTAACGTTAGCCCTTCTGCAGCAGCCAGGTCTAACGCTAGCCCTTCTGCAGCCAGGTCTAACATTAGTCCGTCTGCAGCAGCCAGGGCTAACGTTAGCCCTTCTGCAGCAGCCAGGTCTAACGCTAATCCGTCTGCAGCAGCCAGGGCTAATGTTAGCCCTTCTGCAGCAGCCAGGTCTAACTTTAGCCCTTCTGCAGCAGCCAGGTCTAACGCTAGCCCTTCTGCAGCAGCCAAGGCTAACGTTAGCCCATCTGCAGCAGCCAGGGCTAACGCTAGCCCTTCTGGAGCAACCAGGTCTAACATTAGTTCGTCTGCAGCAGCCAGGGCTAACGTTAGCCCTTCTGCAGCAGCCAGGGCTAACGTTAGCCCGTCTGCAGCAGCCAGGGCTAACGTTAGCCCTTCTGCAGCAGCCAGGTCTAACATTAGTCCGTCTGCAGCAGCCAGGGCTAACGTTAGCCCTTCTGCAGCAGCCAGGTCTAACGCTAGCCTGTCTGCAGCAGCCAGGGCTAACGCTAGCCCCTCTGCAGCAGCCAGGGCTAACGTTAGCCCTTCTGCAGCAGCCAGGTCTAACGCTAATCCGTCTGCAGCAGCCAGGGCTAACGTTAGCCCTTCTGCAGCAGCCAGGTCTAACTTTAGCCCTTCTGCAGCAGCCAGGTCTAACGCTAGCCCTTCTGCAGCAGCCAAGGCTAACGTTAGCCCATCTGCAGCAGCCAGGGCTAACGCTAGCCCTTCTGGAGCAACCAGGTCTAACATTAGTTCGTCTGCAGCAGCCAGGGCTAACGTTAGCCCTTCTGCAGCAGCCAGGTCTAACATTAGTCCGTCTGCAGCAGCCAGGGCTAACGTTAGCCCTTCTGCAGCAGCCAGGTCTAACGCTAGCCTGTCTGCAGCAGCCAGGGCTAACGCTAGCCCCTCTGCAGCAGCCAGGGCTAACGCTAGCCCTTCTGCAGCAACCAGGTCTAATGCTAGTCCGTCTGCAGCAGCCAGGGCTAACGCTAGCCCTTCTGCAGCAGCCAGGGCTAACGCTAGCCCTTCTGCAGCAACCAGGTCTAACATTAGTCCGTCTGCAGCAATGAGGTCTAACGTTAGTTCGTCTGCAGCAGCCAGGGCTAACGTTAGCCCGTCTGCAGCAGCTAGGGCTAACGTTAGCCCTTCTGCAGCAGCCAGGTCTAACGCTAGCCCTTCTGCAGCCAGGTCTAACATTAGTCTGTCTGCAGCAGCCAGGGCTAACGTTAGCCCTTCTGCAGCAACCAGGTCTAACATTAGTCCGTCTGCAGCAATGAGGGCTAACGTTAGCCCGTCTGCAGCAGCCAGGGCTAACGTTAGCCCTTCTGCAGCAGCCAGGTCTAACGCTAGCCCTTCTGCAGCCAGGTCTAACATTAGTCTGTCTGCAGCAGCCAGGGCTAACGTTAGCCCTTCTGCAGCAACCAGGTCTAACATTAGTCCGTCTGCAGCAATGAGGTCTAACGTTAGTTCGTCTGCAGCAATGAGGTCTAACGTTAGTTCGTCTGCAGCAGCCAGGGCTAACGTTAGCCCTTCTGCAGCAGCCAGGTCTAACATTAGTCCGTCTGCAGCAGCCAGGGCTAACGTTAGCCCTTCTGCAGCAGCCAGGTCTAACGCTAGCCCTTCTGCAACCAGGTCTAACATTAGTTCGTCTGCAGCAGCCAGGGCTAACGTTAGCCCTTCTGCAGCAGCCAGGTCTAACGCTAGCCCTTCTGCAGCAGCCAAGGCTAACGTTAGCCCATCTGCAGCAGCCAGGGCTAACGTTAGCCCTTCTGCAGCAGCCAGGTCTAACATTAGTCCGTCTGCAGCAGCCAGGGCTAACGTTAGCCCTTCTGCAGCAGCCAGGTCTAACGCTAGTCCGTCTGCAGCAGCCAGGGCTAACGCTAGCCCTTCTGCACCAGCCAGGGCTAACGCTAGCCCTTCTGCAGCAACCAGGTCTAACGCTAGTCCGTCTGCAGCAGCCAGGGCTAACGTTAGCCCTTCTGCAGCAGCCAGGGCTAACGCTAGCCCTTCTGCAGCAACCAGGTCTAACGTTAGTTCGTCTGCAGCAGCCAGGTCTAACGTTAGCCCGTCTGCAGCAGCCAGGGCTAACGTTAGCCCTTCTGCAGCAGCCAGGTCTAACGTTAGCCCGTCTGCAGCAGCCAAGGCTAACGTTAGCCCTTCTGCAGCAGCCAGGTCTAACGCTAGCCCTTCTGCAGCAGCCAAGGCTAACATTAGCCCGTCTGCAGCAGCCAGGGCTAACGTTAGCCCTTCTGCAGCAGCCAGGTCTAATGCTAGCCCTTCTGCAGCAGCCAAGGCTAACGTTAGCCCGTCTGCAGCAGCCAGGGCTAACATTAGCCCTTCTGCAGCAGCCAGGTCTAACGCTAGCCCTTCTGCAGCAGCCAGGGCTAACGTTAGCCCTTCTGCAGCAGCCAGGTCTAACGCTAGCCCTTCTGCAGCAGCCAGGGCTAACGCTAGCCCTTCTGCAGCAACCAGGTCTAACATTAGTTCGTCTGCAGCAGCCAGGCCTAACGCTAGCCCTTCTGCAGTAGCCAAGGCTAACGTTAGCCCGTCTGCAGCAGCCAGGGCTAACGCTAGCCCTTCTGCAGCAACCAGGTCTAACATTAGTCCGTTTGCAGCAGCCAGGGCTAACGTTAGCCCTTCTGCAGCAGCCAGGTCTAACGCTAGCCCTTCTGCAGCAGCCAAGGCTAACGTTAGCCCGTCTGCAGCAGCCAGGGCTAACGTTAGCCCTTCTGCAGCAGCCAGGTCTAACGCTAGCCCTTCTGCAGCCAGGTCTAACATTAGTCTGTCTGCAGCAGCCAGGGCTAACGTTAGCCCTTCTGCAGCAACCAGGTCTAACATTAGTCCGTCTGCAGCAATGAGGGCTAACGTTAGCCCGTCTGCAGCAGCCAGGGCTAACGTTAGCCCTTCTGCAGCAGCCAGGTCTAACGCTAGCCCTTCTGCAGCCAGGTCTAACATTAGTCTGTCTGCAGCAGCCAGGGCTAACGTTAGCCCTTCTGCAGCAACCAGGTCTAACATTAGTCCGTCTGCAGCAATGAGGTCTAACGTTA